AAGAATAAAAACATGAAGTTCCTAGACATAATCAAATACAAATCAAGAAGAGACATAGCACATACCACATAAATCATTTATCTTCTTGGCCATTTCCTTGATTTCCTTTTCAGCTTTCTTTATGCTTGTGGAATAAGGTCCCAAGCCCTGCATAAATCATAATATTATTTAGCACAAAGTTGATCTTAATGAACAAACATCCACCACACCATTCTGGACATTGCAAAAGGAACAAAGAATTATTTTAAGAAAAAGATGAAGCTAACTACGTAATTGACTAAGTTAAAATCACAATGAATCTTCAAAAGTAAACTAAGGCAGACAGTATAGTTGCGGCATAATGGTGCCAAATTGTGCAACACTTCATAAGGACGAAACACCACTTAGCAATAGGAGTAGAATAATTTATTATGAAAACGAAAAAAGAAAACGATGAATAAGAAAATTAATTCTATTTTCAAAGAGTGGCACAATTCACCGAGGCAACTTATCCATGCTTAACAGAAGACTCTCAATACCCTAGAGTAACATAAAGCGACCAAGCTCCCAGAAAGTAGCTCAATTGCAGGGGCATAGCTATTAAGATGGATGGACCTTACAGGGGCATGGAAGATCTCCAACTAGAAGTACAAAAGCAGATAGCAACAAATACGGAACATGAAAGTTGCATCGGCCAACCATATACCGCTGCAATTACCCAACTTCGCAGAAGAATGGACCAGATACAGACATAACTGATAATTACAGATATAATTATACTGGTATGTTTCCACCTTCAATGGCTTCAAACTACGCACATGGTTAGATGAACTTAACATGTCTGTTTTTTTCACTGCTACAAGTGAATGGAAAGGAGGAATTGAATTTGAGTTTAAATCAATTCTAAGCTGCAAAATACAAAACTGAAGCAGCACAAAAAGAAAAAGAAGAAAGAGTAAATATAAACAATAAAAGTAAAATTATGGACCTCTCGACCATAAAAAATTAGTTTATACCATAAGCAAATCTGGTTGAGAGCCACAAGGGATTTAACAGTTACATGGCTGCATACTCAGTCAAGCACACACAACTGCTCAAGGGCTTGTTAACGAGGAGGCAAAGGCAGCCCAATGATTGAAAATTTCTGGTTCCCAACCCCCAAACCCCTGGTAATACACCAAACATAACTTTAGACATTGTTACTAGCTCTAGTGTTCATCAAATTCGTTTTTTTATAAGATAAGATTTTATTCGAAAAGGTATCAAGATGGTACTGAGTTACAACAGTCCAACATCTGCCACTAACATAGAAACTACAAATCTCCTAACTCTTCTAACAATTCCAAGTATAGTGTTCATCAAATTCTTCTAAAAAGTCCTAACTCTTTACTGTTCATCAAATTCTAAACCACCTGAACAAAACAACAGTAGTAACAATAATATAATTCTGCAAAATTCGAGATATTATCTCAATAGTCAGCAATGAAGAATTAATAACTCAAAGAAAACAGGAAAAAAATCAGGAATGCAAGAAGTTAGGGTTATAAATGAGTACATAAGTCTTGAGAAGAGCAATATCATCTTCATCAAGTGGGGGAGGGTTCTTCTCGTCCTTGATCTCATCCTCGATATCTGCTGCGGGTGCCATCGATTTTCAGATGCGTTCGTTCTTCTCACAAAAAGATCTGTATTTTATTTTTTCTTGAGAAACAAGCAGTAAAGGAAAGTATCAGCTCAAATGAGATCTTTCATTTTATAAAACCCAATGCACGGTGCTTTGTTGGGCCGGGTATTATCCGACCGGCTAGCATAGGCTAACTAGTTTTTGAACGGGTCATTCAAAATAAGAAATTTTCATAAAACACTATCTTTTAGTAGTAATTAGCTATTTATAGATAATATTTGCTATATTATGGATTATAAATATGTTTTCTGTTGTTATAAGATGTATTTAAACTACTGTATTCATGAATACAGTAGCAAAAAATAGGCGTGAATTAGGGAAGTCCAGCTAATCAGTTGTTGTATTCGAGTGTATTCGACTGTATTCATGGCGTGAAATATGGGATTACAGCTGGACAGATTATTGTATTCGACTGTATTTGACTCTATTCACGGCGTGAAACAGGGGATTACACTATTTTTAAACGTAAAGTAAATCAATTAACATAATAGATTTCTAATATAACTCAACAAACTCAATTATAACACACAAAAATTATATTTCCAGTTATAAAAAAAATCTCAACCGAAAAATACCCCAAACGCATAGCAATCTTCAGAGAAATTATATAATACATCTGAATACATAAATTATACGTATTAATTAAACAAACACATATGAATACATTCATGACATATAACGAGACAGTGAATACAATGAAATACATAGAATACAACAAGATACATTAAAATACAATGAAAAAAAAGACAGTGAATACAATGAAATACATGGAATTCAGCGAGATACATTGAAATACAATGAAATACATGAAAATACAGCGTGATACATTGAAAACATATTGAAATATATTAATAGAAAATCAAGTTGCTTAGCCCTAAACTCCATCGTCTTTGTTCAAGAACAAACCCTTATTTCTGACGAATCCGCCGTCGAGCAAAAACCGTGAATCTTACTGAGCTGAAATTCGGATCTACATAGATAGCAACTTTTGAGAGCAACTCGGTGACAAGAGCTTTGAGCAGTAGACCATGAATTTTTGCCAAAAGAAAGACAAGTAAATCGGCTATACTGTTTATACTTTCTTCTCTTTAGTTTATCTTATTTTGCAATGTGACTTCATGTGAATTAAAAACGAGGATGAGAGACACGAAATGTGGGATTTCTCAGCGTTCCTTTTACCACCGTGATGAGACATCGTGAACTTGAAATCACCGTTTGTGACTAATGGTAGGTGAGAGGAATTTTGAGACTGACCATCGTGTTTTCAAGGAACGGGGGAAGAGAATGGCATGTATCAAAGTAGAGAGAAAGAAAATAATGTAACTGAATAACATATTTAGTGGCTTAGGGGTAGGAGGTAACCAAAATTAGTTATTTTGCTATAAACATTAAAAGGGTATCTATAGAATATAATTTTTTTAAATGGTATTTATTTAAAATAAATAAGGTGTTAACCTTTGCTATTGGAGGTAAAAATTTCTTTGAAAATAGCCATTATTTTGATGCAACACGTAAAGTTCGAGCATAACAGTGCACCTGTGTATGAACTTCCAGAATATTATACTGGAACTCCAACACGCGGAAAGTTCCAGTATATTGGAGCACTGGTGCTCCAATCTCCAGTATATTATGTTGGAGCTCCAGTATGCTTATATTGGAACTCCAGTATATTATGTTGGAGCTCCAGTATGCTTATGTTGGAGCTCCAGTATATTATACTGGAGTATTTTTTTGGATTTTGAACAGTGTTTTCGTTCAGATTTATCTTTACATGAAAAGTGACTAATTTTCGATTACTTTTGAAACTGTGACTATTTTTGAATGACCACTTGTAAATCTGACTATTTTTGAATTTCTCCCGCTCAACACGAAATAAAAGGCCCAGCTCATTCTTAAATTGGATCGATCACTTTTTTTTGGGCCCAACTGAACATGGTAAAAGAATGAGATAATAAATTATACATTGATTATATATAATTATACATATATGTACATGAATTATGTATATATTCTACATCCTGCGGCTATTTTTAGTTTACGAGATTAGGTGAGCGGCTATTTGGGTTAATTCTTCAATTACTACATATATTTTCCCTCAGGGGCGGATGCAGCGTATAACCTACGGGTTCAACTGAACCCATAACTTTCGACACGAAGTAAAAATTTGTATGTAAAAATTCATTAAAATTGCAAAAATAGTAGATATGAACCCATAAATTTAAAAATACAATGGGTTCAATGTTAAAAACCCTTAAAATTGAACCTATAAAATTTAAATTCTGAATCCGCCTCTGTTTCCCCTAAAGTTTCAACTTGTAGAGTAAACCTCCCTATTTCAAATTTTGTGTAACCATTTATGATTTGGGAGTAATATCGAACTAATTTTGAACCATATGCATTAACTTGTTCTTTTCTGCAAAACTATGTTCTGTTTTATTTGCTCATGAATTAATTTTACACAACATAAAAATAAGAAAAAGGAAAAGGAAAAAAAAACTATTAATATTGCAAAATAATAAAGTAAAGACAAGTTTGAAAAGGAATAAAAAAATTTCTTTTTTCTTGTTTGTCTTATATTCTTTTTTTTTTTTTTTTTTTTTTTTTTTTTTTACTTTTGTTTTCTTCTTCATTGTTTAATGTGTGGGGATATAAATTTGGGAAGTAAGAGGCATGGAAGTGTTATGCATCAAATGATTTGAAAACAGAAAATAAGATAGTTTGTTAAAACTTGTGATAGATTCGCGTCAATGATTGATTGAACCACCAGTAAACCTAACCTAAAAACAGAAAAGAAAATAACAAATGTAGCAAAGAAAATAAAGAAAATCCATGGACCTATTCCATCATCATTGTTCTTCAAGTTTGGGTGCATTATTTGTCTGTTCTCAAGTTGGACAGTCAAAATTTCGAAAAATATTATAACTCAATTCATAAATAATCAACATTGAAATAAAGAAAGAAGAATAAAAATATAAGATGTCATCAATGACTAACCAATCCACTCTCATCCCATATTGTGATGTGAGGTTCCATATAAATAATTTCAAGCAAGCCACTTTAAACATACAGCCCACCCTTAGTTGCATTAAGTTTACATCTTCAATCAACCAAATACGAATCAATTCCAAATTAACTCAAGGTGGCCATATAAATAATATAAGCTTTTAATATAGCCCCAAGAATGTATCTCCCCTTGCACCTGTGCTGATTGTCCAAGCCAAGGATTTACTCTCAAAAAGTTAAAAGCTTGTTCAAGGAAGATTTCTTATGAGACAAGTTTAAAAGATGTTCAAGCATTCAGATTTTGCATCAACGTTGGTTTGGTTTCATGCACATCTGAAGTCCAAACATAAAACTACCAATCACATCTAACATTCATGGTCAAGCGCCTAAACGCTTTAATAAAGGTTGGTTCCTGAAGCTACAATTTTGAAACTAAGCTTCTTAGCAACTGCTAAAACAAAATAAAGAAATACAACTATCGAGTTCACTACACCAAGTTATAGTTCAAGGAAAATATTATCGCAGGAAAGACAGATGAATCCAGGAAACTTATGGGTAACATGTTTGTTAGTCAGTGGCAACGATGTTTGTTAGTCAGTGGCAACGATGCAGATAATGTTTGTCATAATGTTGTCATTCTTGCTATGTCGGTTCCAAGAGATGTCACAAGGTAACAAATGCATAGAGGCAGAGCTAACAGAACCAGCATTTTGTTGAGTTTTCCTGAAGTACTTGCTAAACTGATGAAATTTCTTGGTTCCCCATAGCCACAAGCATCTAAGAAGTTGCTCCAGTCATTCAAATTCTCATAAAATGTTCGCTCATTGATATGGAACGAAGTGCAGCAATTGGTATATTCAGCTATAGTGAATCTCTGTACTTAATAACATCCATTGTGTTCAAGCTAAATCTCTGGCAGATATCAGATATGGTCGGCTCACTTAGACTATCATTTGCTTCTGCAGATCGAATAAGCTTTTGAAGGTCTTCGGATGGCAGTAATACCTGTATACCAGCAAGTGCAAGATCGCAGTCAATATGCATTCACAGGCACTTTTCAAGGCAGCATAAACAAAGAACGACTCCAACCAATAACTACAAGATGATCCAGCCAGGTCATGCTTTACACACATGAAAGCAAGTATACAATACAAGGATAAAGGTTACAGAATAGAAGCAACTCAATAATTAGTAGAACTAGATGGAGGAGGGGGAAGGGAACAGAGAGAGAAGCCTAGATTGAACGTAAGATCAGGTTTTAGAAGCAAAAGTGTGCATCTCAAAAACTACTACTTTGATAATGCATAAAGTTGTGCATGCATCACCAAGATTCTTTACATCTAAAAAAGGTGTATGTTGCAGATTTAAGTAACATCCGCATTACCATTATATACTGCAATAGAGTGACTAAAGAAGAACTGCTAAGGAAGCAGAAAACAAAGGAACGCAATAAATTTTTGGTAATTGTCCTAGTTAAGTTCCAAAAAGATGGACAAATTAGAATATGATGTACACAGGATTAATGATGCATGTAGGACAGCAGAAAACAAAGAAGACAAGAAAATTTAATAATTTTTCCAGCTAAGCTCCAAAAAGATGGATAAATTAAAATATGTTGCACATAGCCATATTCCCAGTAACACATCGCACTCGTTTCAAATTATTCGGCAGAGTATCAAGTGAAATTCTACCCATGGTGGACGACAGCTGTTCGTTCTCTGTGGGTCATCTTTTGTGTTTGTACTCTTGTCTGTTGTTCCTTCATCTGACTTCTGGTGATAGGAGCTGTCTGTAACTAATTGAAGAAGTTTTTCACTTCCCTGAAGATCCAAAAAACGTAAAGGTAATTAGCAACCCAAAAAGCAGGAGCTCTTCAGAAGAGAAGACAAATTATTGAAGCAACATAGTAAATACAAAAATCAATAACTAGAATGTCTGTAAGCACACATTAAACTTCAGGGGGCACACATTGAACTTCAAGAAGTAAATGACTTGAAAGAGTGGAAGGAAGGGGAGGAAGTGTACTGGACAGATACAAAAGAAAGCTGTGCAATGAAATGGAATCACATGATGGATAATTGTGATCCATATGAGTATGCACGTGCATATATGTCTACTTTTGCCAAAGCAATCTACAAAGAGGGACTATTTACATCTATTCTGCTATGAAAGGTATGTGAGTATTCTCTACATTCTAATCAGTTCTAAACATTATTCACCTGAAGAGCTCTCCAGTGAGAGTATGTCCGAAATAAGACCCAAAAGAATGGTATATTAGGCAAGGGTAGCACCTGCATGACATGGAAATAATTGAGAAAAGCAATAGAATTAGAACACTTCAAATCAAGAGGATCACATCAAAAAGAGGTGCATAGTAAGAAAAAACCTACATCTTGATATGATCAGAAAGAAAAAAAAACTATAGAAGCGACTTGGCATTCCATAAGTAGAGTATAAATACCATGAAAACTGATGTCAGTGGAAGCAATGTAACTGATCCATACAAATACTTCTTGTGGATGATAGCCCCCCTGGTATTAAAATCACACATTAATATGAATATATATTGAAGGAAAGAGTATTTGAATTAAATTTGATTGACAACACCTGAAGTAAAATCCAGAAAGTAGGAAAGCATCATCGTTTTTTTTTTGGTAAAGGAAAGCATCATCGTTAAAATAGCAAATACTCATTCAGGGTTCAGAAAGAGGAGAATTGACTGGGTGACTTGGTCAAGGTTAAAATGATTTTGTTCCATTGTCCTTGGCATGACTTCAATCAGATACAAATCAATGGTATAGTCTTTTGAAAAAACATATAGTTACTTAAGATATTCATGCCAGTAACACAAGGAAGTTTCTTTTCTGTAAAATAAAATGCATCCTCAAGGATTACTATCTCAAACAGTGAGGTAATCTTCAGGATCTATTTCAAAATTTAAGGTATTGAATCCAGAGAAAAAATAATAAGAACAGCTACACATTTGCAGGCAAGAGGATGAATTTGATGTTCACGTCAGAATCTGAGAAGAATGGAAGGGTAAATGCTTTTGCCTGACCACCACGATTAAGTTCCCAAGTGTGATTTTATGACCATTGAAAGCCCTCGCTTCATTTGGTCTAGTATAGATTATGAATGCAAAATACTCTAATCGTAGTTAGAATATGATCCTCCAAAGCAGAAAAAGCTTTTAAATACCAATCAATCATATTCAGGATTTGAGCCATTTGGATCAGGAGATTCAAGCATATGCTTTCCGCGATGAATATATAATAGACAATTTGCAGTAGTGCAGAAACCACATAGAAAGAGAGGCGGCTTGCAGGAAAAGGTATGAGGAAATAGAAAAGGCTAAAAGAATTGTTTCTTGTGACCCTCATGCAATAGTGGCTGACTGCATTGCATACACATGATGGGAAATTTGTTTAAGAAGAAACAGTAATGATTAGGAATTTGCCAGAGTATTCCAACTCTTGCAACTATTGGGAAATTTTCAATGTTCACCCATCAACTCAGACTCTCTCCATTGATTATCACAGAAGGATGGACTATCACCATAAACTCTAGCTACAAATGGCTGGATCAATCTTCCGCCACAAGTACAAGACTAGAATGCCCTTGGAAACAAACCTGGAGTTCTAAAGCACCCCACAAAGTAAGCATGTTTCTGCTAGACATTTGCACACGAGGCTATTCTGGTACAACATAACCTCCAACAAAGAGGCATGAATTTTTGCAACAACTGCTACATGTCTGAGAAGGCAGAAGAAGATGCAAATCACCACTTCCTTCACTGTTTGCTTCTCAGCATTTTTGGTGTCACATGGGCAATGCCAAAATCTCTTCTCTTCTGCTGGACATGGAAAGGAGCAGGAAAAGGCAGGAAGAAAATTTGAAAACCCGTACCAGGCAGCATTTAGTGGGCCATTTGGAAAGAAAGGAATCTCAGATGTTTTGAAGGCAAAAGAGAGAACATCACAAGCTAAATGTCAATGTCTTATCTCTCTTAGCCTTTTGGTGCAGCATGGAAAATGTATATGGTGTAGATAGCTTCTTAGATTCTCTCAGTTATCTCTCAGGCTAAAGTAGGTAGGAACGGAGTTTTTGAAGGTTCCTGGATATGGAAAATGAATTACTTGTAAGGATCCTGATGTAACCAGTGCACAATCTTGGTGCTTCTTTTGTTTCTAAAATGCTCACTTATTAAAAATTGCTTCTAGAAACATTAAGAAAAGAAATAGGATCACAAAAAGAAGATCGGAGCTAAACTGTTAACTTTAGGAATGGTGGGACAGAACAAAGAAAGAAACATCTAGGAAGAATTCTCAAAGAATTGAAAAGGAAATAAAATGATGCGGAAGAATATTAGAATTCAAAGAAGGAAGATTATATTGAAGTATTATTACAAAGTTAGTGAATCATCATAACGAGGTTCAATTTGACTTCTTGAATTTTGTTAGAGCGGAAAGAGTAGCATTAGTATTATTAAGTATAAAGTGTGTCAGACGTTTGGGAAGGCCCAAAGAGAAAAGAGGATCAGATAAATTGGGATAGAGGGACTAAAATTGTTTTGTTATTAAGTAAAACTCTTTTCTTTTCTAAGCGCAAGATAAAAAACAGTCAATTTTGTGTTCAAGGATTAAGTCATGATCTTCCGGTTCATTGCTAATTGGATTGCACTCAAAATTGCCAGAAATCATAAACTGTAGAAATCAATGCTAAATCTTCTGTTACACGGATAGAGGCCAGCCAAAACAAGAGTTCCAGAAACAAGAGATAAATGCCTTAGGTTTAGAACATATGATATCCCAAGTAAAAATAGAAGCTTCTTTAGATTGGAGTAAGAGACATCATGAAAGAGGATGCAACATGGATTGAATTGCATAATTACAAGACCTTCTGTTAAAGGGAAAATATGAAGGAGATAGATTTTAACAAACAACAAATGACTCTGTGCAAAGAAGCATAAAAACAGCAACTAAAGAAAGAAGCATTTTATGCCCTACCTCGAGGCAATATGACGTAGCCTCCGTCGAACAAGCCGTCCGTTTAAACTGTGCAGAATGAAAGACAACATTTGAGCAAACAGCTGGATAACATAGAAACTAAATGTAGAGGTGCTCATGTAATGTGACTTTCCTCCTTTTTGTTTAAGCACACGTAATCCAAGAGATAAAAGATAAAACATGGTACATAAAATTGAAGAAATTCGAGCAATGCTATGGATAAGAAATGTAATGATATCGTGAATGTGGATATAAAATTTAATTAACTTTTCAAAGTGAAATCAGAGATATCAAAGCCAGACAAAATATCTTCAATTTTATTCAATAAAAGTATATAAAGTCATCTCTTTCTCCAAATAACTCCTATTCGATAAGGCCATGAAATGACATGATAACTTAGGGATAAGATAGGCTCTGGCCCGTATAATTGATGGAATACTACTACTTTCATTCTCTGCTAGTCAACTCCGACCAATTAAACTTTTATATTTACTTGCTCATGTCAAGCTAAGAAGAGTTACAGTTCTCTTAACAAATTTAAAAAGGAGGTTGAGTCTGCATATCACATTTGTTTAACTTTGAATTCAAGTACCGGCACTGTCTTTTTATTTACTCATTAATACAAAAAAAAAAGGATCTACAATTATTCACGTTTCTCTATGACTAAAAGGAACACTTGCATTACACAGAAAAAATCCTGCACCACACAAATCAAGCTCCAACTCTTTAAATTTGAAAAAAAAAGGAGAGAGAGGCACAGACCTTGAGGGATAGGTAATGTCCACACGCGTTACCTCCTTAGGAATGGATTTCAAAAAGATCTCCGAAGGCTTAACACGAGAGAGAAGCCGCAACCCTAGCCTAATATCACCAATTATCTAATTAGTTTCAGAATATTCCGTTATAGTGCAGTACTTCTTTCTGAAGAAAAGCTAGAAATTACCCGTGAAGTTTATTCTTTAAACTTCCTTCCGGCGCTTTTTCCAAATTACTCCAAGCTCTATTCATCTAAACATAGTAATAGCAACCATTTCATCGCCTCAACTTAAAATGTATTTTCAACCAAAATACAAATTTAAAAAATAAAATAAAATGAAGACATGAAAAGTACTAGGACCTTATTGGAGGCGAAATCAATGACGAGTTCGAGATTAGCTTTGGAGGAGTCATGAGTAGATTTGGAGATCTTCTTCCAAAGGTCTTTGAATGTAGAAGGAGTGTTTGAAGACTGAGCTTCCAATTGTGATGACTCGATCGCTCGGCTGAAGCACCAGTTCCTTCCTCTGATTGGAAACACTACTAACCTAGCTTTCATGATCGATTCAATGCACGATTATCAACAAAATGAAGAATGAAGATTGTTCAATTGATTATATTGTAAACACAAACGCAAAACCAACGGAATACGCGAGTGACGGAACAAGCTGATTCTGAGGAACAGTGCAGATTGATTTCAGGAAAACAAGGCGCAGCGTAGAGCAGAAAAATCTGGGAAAGTGTAACTGTCTATTAAGAGAATGAATACAAAAGAGAACCGAGCGCCGAAAGTGAAGCTGAATGAAGGAAGGTGCGGCTCGCGCACTCAAACAAGCCACCGTTCTGCACCAGTAACAGAGCTTTGTCTACGTGGCTAGACCTTAAGAAATTGTCTTTGAATTTCACCGGATTCACACCTCAGCCCTAGCATTGGGATAATTAGAGCCGGTTTGGCTTAACTGATTTAGAGTAACTGATACGTTGGAAAGCATTTTTAAGTGTTGAAACTGGTTTAAAAAATAAGCAGTTACGTGTTTGGATAAAAGTGCTGAAATTAATTATAAGCGGCCGAAAAACTGGGTATACAAAGAGTTTTGCTTCAAAAAGAAGTATTTTATGAATAAAATAGTAAATATTTTGGTCAAACATAAAGTGCTTATAAGCTGAAATTTGATAAGTTGGGGGAGACCAACTTATGGCTTTTGGCTTATAAGCACCTAACTTATAAGCACTTTTAATTTTACCAAACACGTAGATAAGCCAAAAACTGCTTATAAGCTAATTTGACCAGCTATAAGCTTAGCCAAATACCCTCTTAGTTTGGTAATTAAATTTGAGATGAATTTATATCATATTTGGTTGGAATAAAATTATTGTATATTTACCAGTAGCAGTAAACTAGTAAGAAAGAGGAAGGGTGAAAATACAAAATCTTTATTACTATACAATTTCAATCCCGAAATGGAACACTAGGAAAAACTAATTCCATTATGACAAACCAACCAACTAGCTTATGGAGTAATACGTTTTAAATAGTTATTTTCATTTGATGTTTATACTAAATTAATAATTGAATCATGGTAATTAAAAATTGAAATGAGAACATATATCACTTAACCATGATTAAGTGATAATTGTGTATAAAAAATATTGTGCATTCATAATTTTGGGGTATACATGGGGCGCGATAAGTTTGTATCTAATTATACTACCATGTTACTATCTTTCATTCGATCATTTGATCTTCTGCATGACCCTGAAAAGTTAACTATGACTTTTTTTTCTCCTAAAGAAAAATTTAACAACTTGATTAGATATTTTAAGGATTGAGAAGACATGTGAGTAATATTAAGTATGGATTGTGTACAAATTACAATGGTACACTACAAATGCATATGGACGAACTAATTTTGTCTCCTCTAATATAATTACATGGTCAATTTAAATGCATGTTTTCCCTCACGTAAAATACAATCTCCTGGAGCAAATTCCCTCGCGATTATAAGTTTATGACTGTTTCCAAATAGAAACCCGGCATCATTCCCTCCAAGAACTTCCCACCTTGCTCTTGGGGAGACTCGAACTCACAACCTCTCGGTTGGAAGTGGGGTTGCTTACCATCGGAGCAACCCCTCTTTGTAAAGGGGCATGATGTACAAATAGCACTTTCTCTTCCATAAACTGTGAGAAGCAGACCAAATAACGCTAATCATGATCAAGTAACGCCTAGGTACAAGGAGCAAGACAATGACCATCTCCTAAAGAATCGGGCCAATATGCCTTCTGCCGCAATGAGACTGCAACCCAAGTATGGAACGTACTTGACATTGACAGAAATTAGTCCTAACTTCTAAACTAGCGTATTCTTTCATTTCTCCAAATAAGTAGGGAATTCAACTCAAGCATGGTAACTTGTTAGAAACGCCTTCTGGTTATTCCAGCTTTAGTAGCAGAATGTGTTACCTAACTATAAGAAAATCTCAATCATTATCAGGTTCACTCATCATCCGCAATGAAGTTCGGAAGTTCACCCTGGCATAAATACTCATCACAAAGTGATGCTGATCCCCAATCCTTCCGAAGCCGCAAAATATCCTCTGTGAAAGTAGAGCCCATTGATCCAATAAACACGTCAGACAGAGAACAAATGGTCTTGTCCAGCATAGCTTCCACCTTCATGAAGGTAAAAACAGACTTAGGAATTAGGATAATGCCAAAAAGCCAAAAGAGAATGTCAAATAGCTTATCACCCTATGTCAATATTTATAACACGAGTTGCAGAAGAATGTTCTATGAACAAAGCTAAATGGCCCTGGTTCTTATACATTTGTCTTAACATCGCTTCATACAATTTTATGGAGAAAGTTATAAAACTATGCAATATTAGGAAACATGAGTCATCTTGGATTGATGTCTTTTAATGGCATTTAATAGGTGGTAGGAACCAAGATTTTAGTTGAATGAACTGTCTTAATTTAATCCAGATTGTAAGGTCAGTCAACTTGTGGGATTATACTGGGATGTTGTTGTTGTTGTTGTTGTTGTAAGGTCAGTCAAGTAAAATTTATTTTAAACACATAACAACCTAGTTAAAACGACTTGCCTGTTTATACGATCTTTCTCATGTCCCAATTCAAATGTCCTAGTTTCCTTTGTTGTCCATCCCAAAGTTCTATCATTTTTAAAAAATGAATCTCTTTTCTTTTAGCAATGCACAAAACAATTTCAATTTCATAGAGCAGGGAAGAAGGGAGTTAAGGAACCTTGAATGGATGGTGAACTACAGAAGCAACAATTATAATGAAGAGGTTAGGATGGCTAGCAAATCAAGGGAACAGATTGGGCCTACTTTCATCAGTGGATTGATTACAGTATGGTTTACTTTTACCATATTTTCACCTGCTTTTTTTAGCTAAGAGTCAATCAATAATGAATTAACTTGATCTGTCTAAAATTGATTTTGATGCAAGTACAATGACGAGATGAGCAATCTTCTTCCAGTTTTAGGCTGAAGCACACCAATAAATTTAGATCAGACACACTGTATCCTTCCCTAGGTTTAATAGGATGTCTACTTAACTTCAATCAAGACCAAGGTTGACCGGGTAACTCAATTTTCTATTTGATAAGCTAAGATTAAGAGAAAAGGCTGAGTCCAGATTAATAGTGCAAAGAAGATCCAGTAACAAAGTGACCCACTGGTTTTCTCAGAACATAAACTATTACCAGTATTCTGCATGAATATCAACCAAGTGCATTTCCAAGGTTTGGATTCTAACTCACCTGACGATCTCCTTCAAGGCCATGTCTGTACAATAAAGCATCCCATTTCTCAGCAGAATTTCGAGCAGGCCTTCCAACAAGTGGCACAGTTTTTCCATTGAAAACAACAAGTGACTGAAGTAGACCAGTTTCACTTTCTGCAGCATCTGTGGAGAGATAAATTACTGCTGAATTGGCCCTTTCAACCACACGATTGATACAATCCGCAGCTTGAGGAACAGGATAGAAGCAACTTGGTTTTTTGGCATTGCTATCAAATAGACAAATAAAAGTGGAGGCAAGGAACTATGTCATGATAAAATTACTAAGCTTAGAAGCTTTGGTAACTGTAGCAGTAATATGAATTTGTAAAGTGTTATGGTACTAAGGCATTTTGGTAATAAGATTATTAGAAATGCCAAAAATATGCTGTCTTTGATTCCCACTACTAGAGCATATGTTAAAGGACAACCAATTGAACAGTAAATACAGATAGGAAAAGCAAATATACCAGAACTTCAAGAAACCGTGTCTGCGGAAATGAAGAGCGATAAAGTTCTCTCCCAAGAATGTTTGGATGAAACGCTGCGCAGTGAGCAAAATAAGACGACTTGGCTCAACAAGTGTCTTGCATTTGTGTGAAATGGGGCCACGAGGTTGCATTACCCATTCTTTTTCCACATCGGCAAAAAATACATCACCAATTGCAATAACATCATCATCCGAAGAAAATTTTATCATAATGTCTTGGACAGTCCTTGGCTTCGGATTCTTAACATCCTCATTCCAAGCAGCTTCGAGCTTATTCATAGAAACCCCTAATGATTGCAACTTCTTAACACGCTCTTCATCCATAAAACAAGGCTGTGGCTGAGAGAAATAGCAAATGAATTTATCTATGTGCATATGGCCCTTTCGTCCTTTTGCAAATTCCTCAAACGTTACAACCACTTTTCTACCCAAGCATTTATCGATATGATCAATATCCAACACTCGATGAAATTCATAGTCTACTTTAGAGCTAGGAATGATCAAAATGCGGTTAAGCAGAGCTGCAAAAAACATGTGCTTTTCCAAACAAATTAAATGATTTGACATCTGCCCCGACACACAAATTGCAAACAAATACTTATCCGGCCTTGGCTTCCACTCAATGGTTCTCCTCTCAGACAATCTATAATCCACCTTCCTACACCTATGTAAATCACCATAACCTTCGAGACTAGGATCTGTAGCATTATCCGATGCACTTAACGAGCTCCCTAATTGATGAGACGAAAAAAGAGCTTGTTGAATTTGCTTATTTAATGAAATCTGACTGAGCAAATCCGATTTCAGTTTTTCTAAATTACTATTATTGACAATAGGCTTATTAGAAATAGCATTCAAAGAATTATCAAGCAATGTGTGGTTCCATAGCTTGAAGAGCCCTAATTGTTGCTGTCTAAACAGATAAAGAGCCCGCAGTTCGGACTCGCGCATGCGATTGATGGAAGCATCGTAATTAACGTTTGTAACGCTGGTTTTGAAGAGGTTTTTAATGTCTGTGGTGAAGTAAAGGATGAGGATAAGCACTGGAAGTATAATCGCTAATAAATACCTCTTTTTGAAGCTGAAATTGAAGCGGCGAGTGTTAGCAGTTTCGTCAATTTGAAATGTGGTGCGCTGAGGAGATTCTGAATGGCGGTTTCGGCTTTCGCTTTGCGCGATCAGATTCTCGTGATCCTCTTCTTCATCAGAGGATTCTCTGTCCATCATCACAATATTTTCACGGAAATCAAACGTGCATTATCAATTTTCAGAATTTTCCTTATCTCTTCTCTGTCATATGGAAACAGCGTCTGCTTTACGATGGAACTGAGTAGAAAACTGCAGAAATGCGAGCGAAGAAGCTAGGAGGTGTTTGGTTTCCAGTCGTTTTTATAGAGTTTAATATTAAAAATCAAATTTCAGAACCAAAGTAGTATTAATACTTTTCATTATGCTATATTTTGATATCGTATTAATTCTACAGGTTGTGAGTTCGAGTGTCCCCAAGATCAAGGTGGTAAGTTATTGGAGTGAAGGATGCCGGAGATCTATTTGGAAACAGTCTCTC